GTACTCAGATGCAGTAACATTATGTTCAATGAGTCTCTCAGAACAATTTGGATTTTCCCTTGTGTATAGCAGTAGCTGGACTTGCAGTTCTGTCCCAGACAAAGCATTGCCTATATTAAGATCTGTAAATTCAGGACATTTTTCCTCCTCATCTGAAAAAAATGAAAATGTTAGACAGTCATTCGATGAGTTAGACCACCTGAAATACCGCCTCTTCACTTTTCTTTCCACATTTTTCCACTAAAAGTGAAGAACTTCCATTTTCTTCACTCCAGACCTTTGCAATAAGGTGCCAGCATGTGCACTGAACAACAAGGACACACAGTTTAACTAATGACTCTGCAGATACCACTATGCTCCTCTGAACCCTTCAAATACAAAATTAACCTTTCCAATTGTTCCTGAACCACATATTTTCTCCATAACAAACAAAAATTAGTAGTCAGTGTTGGTAAGAGCCTTTGCTTAACCACCAAATTTAGGCTCTCAGAATTTTTTCACAACTAGTGTGTGTTATATATAAACAGGAAGACTGCTGTGGTTGTTTCTTCCTCTTTCGGCCAGGGTGTCAAAGTTGCCAATCCTTAGACCTTATTGTTTGATCTAGCAATAAGAAACGGTTGCCTGACAGTACGGGGATGACCCAGAACCCTCCCCTAGTTTTGGATCACTGTAAGGACACAATTACCAAGGAACAAAGAAAGAAGAAACAAAGGATCCTGTTCTGAGTTTGAAAAAATAAGAATCTGTAAGGTCAATGTGTGTAATGGCACAAGAAAAACTGTAGTATTTGGCACTTCTGTGCTCAGACAGTTGTAGCATACAAGGTTAAGCTGTAGATCAGTCAGGATCGGCCAGAGGATGGAGATTTTCAAAATAGTCCAAAAAGACTTAATTTTTCCCGTGTGCTTATCAACGTCAAAAGTTAATGCTTTAAAAAGTATCCCTTGGCTACTGAGGTCACATTGTGTGGATAAGCCACTTCAGGATTCTGGGCACAATGCTGACGCCTGTCACAGTTCTTCTGTGTGGCCTCTTCACCTTCACTATGGTGTTAGCTGGCATATGGCCAAAGAAATCTGGGCCAACCTCTTGACTTCTAGTGGGCTATGCAACTTTATACAAGGCTTTTGTCTGATATTTTATGGCACCTTTCTCAATTTTCCTGTCATTAACAACTTTGTGAAACAAGACTCAGTCAACTTCTAGAAAGCAAAAGTAGGAAGAGAAATAGTACCTACTCAGTTCCTCAAAAAATAATAAAAAAGTAACCTGAATTTCTCAGAATTTTTGAGTTACAGGAGAGGCAGTTCTAGCGCTTCTCCTTTTCCCAGCAAGCGTCTAGCAGGCAGAACTGAATCTACCACATTTGCACATCTGAGACGAACAGTGAGCCCTCACCAGTTAATAAAGCTGCGAAGGGCAAGTGTGTGGGGGTTGCAAGGCATCTGAAAAATGTATTTGATACTATAATGCAGATCTAAACAAAGCTAAACAATATGAATCGGCACTTAAGATGCAGTAAAGATGTGGTGAAGACAGTAACTCACTTAGGGAACTAGACCAATCACCTCTAGGCCAAACCATGTATCTACAATGACTAGACCAGTCACTTCTGGACTGGACGTCACAAAAATAATGGATATTTGCAAACCAGAACAGGGTTGAAATTACAGAGTGTTAGAAATGGCCTGAAACTTCCTGTCTCAAATCATCCACACAAAAGTTTCATTCCTATCATCACCTTATGACAATAGCTACAATTATTATGTCTAGGAAAAGTCAGAATTACCTATATTTCAAAATAAGTATCACTGACCTCCTCATTTTGACATTGAAAAATTTAAGTAACTTTTACTGTGATTACTGGACGGGCTATTAACTAACTAGTGGTACAAGAAGACAACTCAGTTTCATTGCTGAGACTTATCCAAGAAAAAGTTCTAAAATTAAGAGCTATTCAGCTGCAGTTGCCTTGAATTTAATGAAAATGGTATTCAGGAACCCGGTAAAATGTCATACATGTGACATGCTACTGAGATGCTAATATAGTGTGTCACATTTAATCCCTAGTTTTCATATAATGATATAAGACAATAAAACTAGAATAGAAATTCTATTATACAAATGTCATATACAAAGCTAAATGATAAGAAACAGCCACTTCATTACATTTTTGCCATTCAGATTCAAAGCTACAACATGAAACGTCCATTTTTGCCTAATACTGTTCTTAAATCAAAGTTTAATCACTGATCCTTATAATTCACTCCTACATATCTAACATATAAAAGATTCATGCTAGGATATTGTTGAAGTGTTCCTCCGTACCATTTAAATGTTTTGGTTTCTTATCATTTGATTGGTAGAAATAAGAATTAATTCTTCTAAAGCCGGTGGAATGACAGTGACATAAAGCAGAGACACAGTCTGGTCCATGGAATTGAGAAATCGATCACAAGGAAATTATTTTAACTGACGAAACCTATTTACTAGCTGGGAAATGTCAAAGGGAAACAACTCATTTACTTATGGCTGTGAAGCGACAGCAGTTACTCTTTGAAAAGTAAATAGAGAAAAAAAGAAAAGATGACGTCTTTACTGTGGAATTAGATAAGTACTATAAATAGATTTATAGATTTAATACTTTGAATTGTTTAGCGAGGAGTCATTGCGGGGAGGTTTTTCAAACTCCTATTTCTGATTGATTACTGGAAGGAATACCCAGCTGCCCTTTGTACACGCTTGTGGGAGTACTCACATACACTTTTCTGTACAGTCAGAACATAAAGATAGGTGTTGGGCAGTTACATACGCAGCTTAACTCAGTTAATATGCAATTTTAACGTTCCTGTGTACGTTTGTAAGCATTTAAGTACCTTCGGTGGTTGAAAAGGGGAAAATCTTAAGTGCACACTGACTTTTTTTAACTAAATTTTACTATTTAAAGCATAACACATAACTTGAAAACCTGTCGACCTACCAAATCAGCAATAAAAAATAAACTTAGGTTAACACGTTAAAACTCTTTCACAATTACCTCTTTACTTTGTACAAAGTGCACATACCTGAGTGCGTCTCTGTGCAAAGTACAGCCAGAGATAAAGTATCAGGCTTTGTTCTATTTACTTTAAAATGAAAGCCTACGCCTCAGTTTCAAAGTCATCAAATTCTCTTTACTAATTGTCTGCTCCATTAGGCATAATTCACAAGGTTTAATCTTCTGGCCAATTTAAATGAAGGAATATTCATTTTTTATGCTTGAATAAAGCCAAGAGACTACTTCGCAAAGAATAAGCTAGCGGTTCTTACCTGATCTCACCCAGTATATCAAGCAGATGAAGAACCACCATTTCAGCATGTGGAAATGGAGAAAAGCAATACGTAATATCCACGGACAAGTGGCAAATCTAGTGGTTCCTTATAGTATGCTAGATGTCCAACCTAACTGAATGCCACTAATGAAGTAAGTGACACGTAGAGTAGGAAGCAGAAAGCAAAGTTGTATTCAAGCTTCTGCAATTCATGACTCCTCCTATTGAATGACTTCAGTAGGTAGGGTGGTTTCTCATCTTTAAGGGTTGGGGCTGTTTTTTAATCTATTTCCTTCTCTCTTTGGCTATCAGCAGATTTACATGTAAGCAATCGGTGTTATATATTACTGACAACTCTGTTACACACATGGAATTTAGGAAGCAGAGTAACTAGAGGTACATCACATTACAGACCCACCATGTGTCTTTTTAAAAGCGTGTCACTCAACTGCAATCAGAGGCGCTGGGACGGCCAAAAGAAACTTAGAACAAAAAGTCATTTGGTGACAGAAGAATTTTTCTGTAAGAACTTGAAAATAATTCTGAGAACTGTACCTCCATGGATTATTTTTGCACAAAATTATCTTCCGAGCTTTTTCCAAGGAGTCATTCTCTAATCTAAATCCATAGGAGGTCTGTGAAAGCACTTATATGGGAGAGAGATGGAGCTTAGAGCCCCACAAATCTCACTCAGACACTGACTTGCTGGGTGTTTTGGGTATGTCACTTAATTTCGTTCCCTCCATTTCCCAAACTATAAAAAAGATGAAGAAACATTTATTTTTGTGAAGTTCATTTATTTACAAACCAATTCACTGGGTAAATACAAGAGGTCAAACTTCAGTTTCTTAGAGTTCACAGCGAGGCGAAGAGGCAGATAAACTCTGCATTATTCAAGTGAGATGTCTGGATGCTCAGTTTGCCTATATCTGGCCCCCAATTATTTCCCCTGCAGGAGAAAGAAAAACATACCATAACCACTCAAATATGAGGCAGATGCATCCCAGGAATGTATTTTGCATAGCATATCCTTCACAGTGCTTCTAAACATAAGGTCTAGGTCTCCTTTTCCTTCCACAACAATTAAGGGGTGGGTGTGTGTGTGTGTGTGTGTGTGTTTCTTCACTTTCTTTTAAGTGATCGGTGTTTTCAGCTGGCTTTATGATTCTGAGCAGCTCAATAAAGCTGTGCTACACAAGCTTCTGCAGCGGATAGCCTTTAGGAGGTCTCTTCAAAGTCCTTTCCCCTTTGAATGCAGCCACAAGGAAAAGAAGATGCAGTACGTCTAGTCGCATGAAAATCAACTCAGCTTAACCGGTGAGCTTTTATTACTTTTTTGCTTCCATTTCTCAAATTTGTCACCCTATTCTCAGTAAAGTTCACTAAGGCAGCTCTTGTTATGCCTTTGCATTCCCTCTTCATCTCAAATCTTTGACACGTTTCCCAACCATTACTGTAAAAGCACAGCCCTACTGACATTACATATTACTTAGACCAAGTAATGGTATAGTGTCAAGCTGGCTCTTTCCCCTCCCTACTTTTTACCATAGATTACTGTTATAACAAAAACTTAGTGCACCCAAGCAACCACCAGTTAGGCAGCCTCAGCACGCACTCAGTGTGCAGTACGCATTCATATACAAGTTAAAGCATGGAAAGCTCAACACCACTAAAAACGAACCGGCAATGGCCCTAGTAAAACATCTACCGTGCTTATCCAAGAGCCAATCGTCTGATCTTAGAAGAAAACCTTACATATGTACCTTTACGTATACCTAATGCCACTAGTTGTGAATAAATAAACACTTGTTCTTTTACACATGAACGGGGGAAAAAGAGGAAACTTTAAGTTCCCTCTTGAACCGAAAACCAGCAAGCCCAGCTCACATGTAAGTAAAGTACAGTGCCACCCACGTCAATAGAACGACCCATGAAACAGTTTTAAAGCCCTCTGAAACCAGCGTCAGGAAAGGACTCCCTTACTAAATCGACGCCCAGAAAGTTTTGCGGTATTAATCAGGATGTTGAACTAGTGCCTGTTGGACTCACCTCCCTGTGGTATGACAAGGGGACTTTGTTCACCAACAGTGGCACTTACGCCACTTAGAAATTCATAAATCTTAACTACCATTACTATTTACACTACAGTTTCTGCTGACATCCCGCTGTCAGGTAAATCCTTCAAGGTGACTGAGTTTCAAGTACGCTGTCACAGATGCGAGACCCTCAAAGTTCAGGCCCTGCCCATCCCACTTCGCTGCATATTGTTATGTCCACTGCTTTTCTCACAAGGATACACTTCTCGCACTGAAATTCAGAGTTACCTGCTCCAAAAGTGCCTTACGCAAACCAGTGGAGGACGCCGGCACTGCCTCTTCAGGACTCTGACTGTCCCCCACAGCGCTCGGGACCATAACAGTAGTACCTCCTGAACAAACCCCGACGCTTTTGGGGGAGCCCACAGTCTGCCAGCTATTAAAAAACCCTCAAGACTGGCCAAATATTCAAGTTGAAAGAAAAATGTAAAAACTTCATTTTATTACAGTACAAGATTGCTATGATTTACAGGTAACAGGATGGCACTTTTACAAGTCAGTTTACCCCCCAAAGTTTATGATGAAATAACAGTTAAAAACCTTACAGCTCGGTTTTCAAGATTAAGATCGAATTCTTACCCAAGACTTGATATCCTGATCTGTGGTCACATGTATTTCCCCTTCTAATCTTCTCCCTACCCTCAAGGATTTTGTAATCTTGGGAAGTCCCATTCTCATAGCAATTCTTACAACAATTCTCATTTCTCTTACGAATCAAGCCACTTCTCCAGAAGAATTCCTCTCTAACTGCTGGCTTAAGAGCACTGCTCCCTTTCAGGCAAGACGAAATCACACTTGGCTTTTGCAATGCAGTATGTTAAACTATGAAAAAAAGCTGTCTAAAGATTACAAAGGGAAAAACCCTGACTGGCTGGGAAGAAATTTAAGACTCATTAAGTATTCTACGCTGAGGCTTATAATTCCTGTAAATTGATAATCCCTTTCTAAATAGACTTCACAAGTCAGTAACTAAGCCTCCATTTGAAAATAATGGGCATTGAGGCAAAGCACACCATCTATGCTTGGGGAAGACAAAAAATTAATAATATTTTTCACATTGCTGCCATCAGGATGACTCCTGAAAACGTGCGCCTTTGTAAAACACCACCTTAAAAATACATACTGGATGTTAAATGTGTGTACGTGCTTGAACCCTGTTTGTGGCAACCACGCGACAGTGGGTTATAACGCGGGCATAACTTCAGCTTTAAAGACAGCAATCATATTCCAGTTCTTTTCGAATCTTGAAAGACGTACAACATCTGACACTTTACCTGTGTGTTTTATTAGTAACTATCACAACGCTTTATCATACTGACGACTAGAACACTTGAGGGCTTTAAAGGCTTTTGAAGTCTTTGTCACTCGGCCCTACTCCAGCAGCTTGCAGCATCCACCTGCTCCTCAGGCTGGCAAGGGGAGAACAGGGCGTTCTCGTGCGGTTAGGCCCCCTTCTCCTAGCTCTTCCCTTCGCCCGCAGTTGCACGCAGACGAGAAGGAAAACACTCCAGGGGCACACAGGCACTTCTTCCCCAGGCCGCGCTTCTGTACAATGCACGCTTCCACCGGCAGGTCTGACAACAATGATCTCTTCCTCCCGTCAGCAGGGAAAACGCGGAAAAGAAAAAAATGAAAGACGCGTCTTAACGCGTTGACGTTCCCCACAGAATAACGGCACTAGCGAGCGCCCGCCCCGCCGGGCACCAACTCGCCGCACGCTCAGCGTCTCCCAAAAACGCTATTAAATAAACCGTAGGCCCTGCCGCGGCTACGATAACGCCTCCGGCGGGACCTACGCCCACCGCGTTGCGCTGCGCTGCGCTGCGCTGCC